TTCACAAATTATATATATATATATATATATATATATATAAATAAAACAATAGGCTACATAAATTGTTAGGCCTACTTATTTTTAAAATTATACAAATAATAATTTTATTTTATATGATGCTCAAGTAGTGAATCTATACTTAAACTAAAGTACCTGTAAATAAATATAGTATTTGCTTAAAATCAATCAAACAATTAGGCTAATCAGTAAATTCTGGCAAAAATGAGCCTAATTCATACATTTGATCCTGTTCTGTTTAAACTCTGCTGCAGTATCTTTATGTTGGAGGTGATTCAGTGATTAGTATAAGAGTTGTTTCGCTAGCATCCTAAATGCTTCGTGAAAACCAATGCAAACTTAACATCTTCTGATCAATAAGCCTGATTCGGGTAAGGTACACATTTTTTATAATTCAACATCAATATAACATTAAAATCTTCCAAGACTGGCTTAATTACGGAATTACCAAGAAAAAACGAAAAATAGGCCAAAATGCTAGTTTCCATTAATCCTCGATAAACCGTCACGGTTTCTTCTTCCGCTGATGTCAGGATGTAAGGATGAGTGATCAGACGAGGACGTCGCGTAATGATTTCAATCCCCTGAATGCTGTTCCGCCGTCATTAGTGTAATTAAAAGATTGTGCTTAATTCCGAGCGAACGCGACGTCACCGAGGAACGCACCCGTCGCGGAAGTGACGTGTCGCTCCGTGCCAGAGGAAGTTTGTGCGGCGCAGGGAGAGAAAGTTTCCCCGGAGCGACTGCGCTTGGAGCGGGAAGAACCCGGACACAGCCGCCGCTGGTGGACCGAGCGCGCCGGAGCGGGAAGAGAGCGCGTCGTGCGGCGCGTGGATGCGTGTTGCGGAGTCGGAGAGGCGTGCAGTGGGTTCGTGTGGCCGTGTGATCGTGTCTCCGCCGCTCCTCCGCTCCTCCTGCTCGCGGTGAGATGGGGAAGGAGCAGGAGCTGCTGGAGGCGGCGCGCACCGGGAATCTGGCCGCCGTTGAGAAGCTCCTGTCCGGGAAGAGACCGTCGGTCGGGTCGGCCGCCGCCGGAGGTTCCGGATCGGCCGGGAATATCGGGAGCTCTTCACACTCGCTCTCCAGTCTGCTCAGGTAAGAGAAAACCACGGAGGAGGGAGAGGCTTATCTGTAGACCTGAATTATTGGCAGGTGTTAAAGGGAGTGCTGTGTTTGCGTGCAGCCTGTCATTTGGCATGTGTGTAATGTAAATGTCAATAGTCTTTTGTGGCGTGAGTGTGTCTTACTCTGCTTGTGTTTACAGTGGTGTTCCTTGCCATCAGATTTGCCTAGTTTACAAAGAGAAGCAGTAAGATTCAATCCCTCACAAATCTGCACTTATTAACCTATTAATAAGGCCAGTTACACTTTTTATTAATTATTTTATGTGCTTCTACTTACATTTTTGTAAAACTCCAAAAACCTACCTGTACACACAATTAATTTTACACATGAAAAGACCATTAGTGCCAGTCAGACACCAACAACTACTTCTATTTCACACAAATTATGATTACACAAGCAAATTATTGATCAGTAAATGCTTATTTTCTTGTTGTGACCTTAAAACACTTTTACCATAGTGCATTATTTGTAGACTAATACATTTTGACATTTGAATCACATAATCAGCTCCATATGTATGGCTTTTCTGACATCGTAAACTTGCTTAGTAGCGCACCCGGTACAACATTGCACTTGCGATGTGGAGCCTTGTGCACAAGTTAGGTGAAGCACAAATGACGATAACTAGGGGTGCCACGATAAATTGGTTCGTGGATCGATTCTGCAATTTTTTCAGAATGCATCGCGATTCTCTCTGGAATCAGTTCTAAACTTGTTTTTTAACTGCACACTCAAATGCTCACGAAGAAGAGCATTTGTGCGTTCAACTGAGTAATGTAAGTGGTTAAATGTACTTGCTCCTCGGCTTTTACGCTTTTATGACGTGAGACTAATGTAAACAGCCCACTGTGAACACTCGTAATTCGCTTCAACATTTTCAGACTTTATAAATGATTATTTCAAGTTCAAATGGTGCGTGTGTAAGGAACTGGAAGCAAGCGGAGTACGGCTGTTTCTAAAGCATGCAGTGCCATCTGCCGTTAACAACTAATCTCAAAATCGATTCAAGAGAGAATCGCGACGCATTCGGAAAATCACAGAATCGATCCATGAATCGATTTATAGTGACACCCCTAATGATAACGCAAATCAAAGACTTGTAGAAGCAAGCTAAAGGGGTTAAAAGGGTCAAATGTATTGTAGTCTAGCTAGTGCTCAACTAAAAAGGATCGTTACCAGTGTTGGGGGTAACGCATTACAAGTAACGTGAGTTACGTAATCGGATTACTTTTTTCAAGTAACTAGTAAAGTAACGCATTACTTTCCATAAAAAGTAACTAAGTAACGTAATTAGTTACTTTTTTATGGAGTAACGCAATATTGTAATGCATTACTTTTAAAAGTAACTTTGCCCAACACTGATCGTTACTGATACAGATTCCAGTAACTAAAGATGTATTAGATTGCTGAAATATTGTTGATTTATACTGAAATGAGATGTATGCCAAGTTGCTGAAAATTAAATTAACTTGCATAACATTTTCATAAATCAAAAACAGATCGCTTGTGTTAGGAGTGCTGTTGGTAGATGTGAAACTGACACAAATGGCAACTACTAAATCTGTAATTGACCAGCCAGAGTTGTCATCTGATAATCTCAAAATGAATATCTGATATATCTTGATGTATTATATAGAGGAAGCACTCGATCTCGTTCTTATCTTTATGCTAGCTGTAAATCGGCTGCTTGTAAGCAGTGTTTTTGGACAGATCTCCTGAAATGCTCAGGTAGCTGGTTCTATATTTGCAGTGGTTCTCAGAGGGGTTTCTTCTCTTCAATAGTGGCACATCTGTACTCATTTAAGAGCTCTGAGTGGCTTTGGTTTCATTAAATGCTGACAGTTTGGGCCTCTGTGGACACTATCCAGCACTTGTCAAAGCCCTGTCACCCGAATATTCTCAAATTCACTCGCACTAGAGACTTCCTTTTACTCTCTTCACTCTGTTTGTAATGCCTTGAAGAGATATGTTATCTTTTTTTGTCTTCTGTGGAACACCAAAGGAGATGTTTTCAAGAATGTACACTCTACAGTCAAGGTGCATGTGAAGAAGCAATGACCGTCAAGCTCCAAAAAGGATAAACATAGGCATTGTATAAAATACATTTTAGAGTTTACATACTACATTCCAAATCTTTGAAAGTCATTTGATAGTTTTGTATGAGGAACAGTGTGAAATTATCACTGAAAATCTTGTTTGACATCTGTGGTTACCTTTCTCATTCGTTGTATATGGAAAAGTGCAGCTGCTTCTGTTTAATAACTCCTTTTAGGTAGAAAGAAGACATGAGGGTGAGTAAATGATGAAAGAATTTTTGGATGAACTGTCCCTTTACGGCCATGAACATACCTGTGAAGTGATGGAAGGGCTTGTCTCCATGTACCAGAGGTTTCCTAATGCTTGGGAACTAAAGAGCAGCACTTGCACTGTTTTTTCTTTTTATGTACTGTATGGAACGAGGCATCATGTTGAGACTTGCCATTCTGTTTTGAAAGAGTCTGAGTTTGAGTTCTCGCTCTCCTTCTTGGAATGTCGTTTCAACATGGCGGCGTCTGCAGATTTGGACTTGCTGCCTTATGTGTTCATAAGTGTGCTCGTCTGCTTATACACATTGTGTCCATGTGTGTATTTAACATTACTTTCTTCTGAGATATCTTCATACTCATCTGTCTGCCGGTCTGTCTGTCTATTGCATTTTTCTCTGTCTGTCTGTCCATCTTTCAATCTGTTTGTCAAATGCCTGACTGTCTGTCTGCTTGTTTATCTATCTGACTGTTTATCTGTCCATCTATTTCTTCATTTCCAGTCTGTATTTCCATCTGTTTGTCCATCTTTTGCCTGCCTGTCTGTCTATCTGCCTATCTATTTTCTTAACAGTTTGTCCATTGCCTGCTGTCTGTTCTCCTGTTTTTTTCAAGGCCTGTCTGTCTGTTAGACTTTTTTTCTGTTTATTTGTCTGTCCATCAGTCCATTGCCTGTCTGTCTGGCTATCCATATGCCTGTCTGTCTGTATGTTTATTAGTCTATTCTTTGTCTGTCTGCCTGTGTATCTGTTTGTCTATTGCCTGCCTGTTTGTCTTGTCTATCTGTCCATTTAATTGCCTGTCTATCTGTCTGTGTTTTTTGTCCATCATCTGTCTGTTTGGCTTTTTATGTGTTTGTCTGTAGGGCTGCACGATTAATCGAATGCGATTGTCATGCGCATTTTGATAGTAAAGCCGGTTCTGTAATCAGCAGGAAATCATCATCACGTGCTTTCAGATGGAGCAGAATTTACTACACAGAGCCGTAGTTCACTGACAAGTTACGCAAAAAAAATC